CCGGGTCTCTGGCCCGCCCCCGGGCCGCCTGTCCCTTCGGGTAGGCGGGGCGGCTCTCTGCCGGGCCGGGCCGGGCCTCCCCGTCCGCAGCCCAGACGCCTCCGGCCTCGCTCGCTCTCCCCTCGCGCCAGGCCGGGCGGAGGAAGGCGCCTCCCCTGACATCCCGCCGGGTCTCTGGCCCGCCCCCGGGCCGCCTGTCCCTTCGGGTAGGCGGGGCGGCTCTCTGCCGGGCCGGGCCGGGCCTCCCCGTCCGCAGCCCAGACGCCTCCGGCCTCGCTCGCTCTCCCCTCGCGCCAGGCCGGGCGGAGGAAGGCGCCTCCCCTGACGGCGGGCCTCTCTTTCTCTCCCTCCCCCCTCGGTCCGTGGCGGCGGCAGCACCTACGGGCAGCTGTGGCGGGAGGCGCGGGTGGCGCTGGCGGAGCTGCTGGAGACGGAGCTCCGGCCCAGCCGCCGCCTTTCTCGGCCTCTCCTGCCCGGCTGCGAGGGGGGAGGGGCGCGCCGGGACGCGCAGACCCAGACCCCCCACACACACACCGCCGGCCACGGGAAAAGGACGCCCAGAGCGCGTCTCCAGGCCCCGCCAGGAGGTTGGCATATGCGCTCGCCTAGAGCGCAGGACAACCTCGGGCCGGCCCTGGTTAGACGCATGTAGAAACCTCTGATCCTGGTATGGTGATCAGCATGGTTTACTGGTACACAACAAAAGACAAAGACTAACGGCTGGCTGGCCAACTATATACACACCTGGGACACTCCCCTAAATCTCCCGCCACAGTCCTATTGGTTCCCCAGTGGAGAGACTAGGAGCCTAGTCTCCATTGTTCCTACAGAGTCAAGCTCGGGGGTATTCGCTGGCCCCTGGTGGCGTTCAGCGGACATAACACTCCCCCCCATCTATCTGCTTTCTTTCCACCTCTTTCTTTCCACCTTTCTCTCTCTCTCTCCCCCTTCCTCCCCCTCCCCATCTATTTACGCTCTCTCTCTTTCCTTCCACCTCTTTCATTCTTTCCACCTCTCTCTCTCTTAGGTTCCCTTGCTCAAAAGCCAGTCAAGTCCGACTCTAGGGTTGCGGTGCTCATCACCGTTTCAAAGCCGAAGAGCCAGCGCTGTCTGAAGACGTTTCCGTGGTCATGTGGCCGGCATGACTAAACACCAAGGCGCACGGAACGCTGTCTCTCTTAGACAAATAAATATCATTGGACAAATAAATCTCATTATCAATATCTGTTTTTACTCCTGTCATGAGCTGTGTAGGCCTCTAGAGATCTGTGCATGACTGGGAGAAAAGCCTTAGGCCTATGGCCCTGGAGAGGCCTGTGTGGTAGTAGAAAGCAAGCTGCCTACAATTCCCACAATGCCTAGAACCAGCAGCAACCAATGGGGATACGGGAAGTCTCTGAGGAGAGGTGCTCTTATACATGGTGGTCAGTTTAACTGACCTTTTCTCTGCGGTCTTGCCTCACAGAGGAGCAAACTGAGGAGACTGGTCTGGGAAAAAGTTCCCTCACTGGGAGAGAGAGTACAGAACAAGCCTGGTTTATAGAGGACTGTAGGCCTGAAGTAGTAACAGTTAAAGTGAAGTAGTTAGTCGTGTTAGGTTTGATTATTTTTCCTTTAAGCACTGTTCTATCTTTAAAGCACCTTGCCTTATTTGCCTTGCCCCAGTCTTGTTTTAATAAACCATTGTTTTATTCTCTGCCTGGTCATCACGCCTGTGTTCTCTGGGCTGTAAAAGGGCCATTTTGATTGGGCTTGGGAAGGTACTCTGGACCTTCTCAAGGGACCGAAGTCCAGGGTGGTGGCAGCGGTGTCATGACAACCCCTTCGTTTCTATTTTTGGCAGTCTCATTTAATGTTAATAAAAAGCAAATTTGCGTATTTTTCAATAAAAACACGCGTGTAATATTTGTTCATGTCTTGCGGCTCTCAAACATCTGACATTTATTCTGTGTGGCTTTTACATTAAGCAAGTTTGGCCACCCCCTGTTCTAGTTATTTGTTTGCACTACCTGGAGGTTGGCAACCCTATATCTCAGTATTGATCCTTAAAATGGGGATCACCTTTGCAATCCTTCTCAAGTTCATGTGATGTTCGTGCCTTCTGGTAATCTGATGCACGCTGGGAAAATACAAATAATGCTTATTTTCCCAGAAGGATGGAAGATTCTGTCTCTCTGGCCTGCCATGTGTCATTCCTCCAGGAACAGAACTCACCAGATGCGCCAACCTGTACTTAAAATTAAACCAAAACAAGCTCTAATTACCTTTCCGAGACACACTGAGAATCCACTGGGGAGCCATTTTACATCGGTAGACACAACCCTGGTAGTTTGTGTGCTGGTAAAAGGTGGATTTCTTCCACTCTTCCAGAGTGCGTTTATTATTATTTTTATTTCATTTTCTATATAGACTACAAACTATAATGAAAAAGGGAGGTGTACTACATTTAAGGGATAAAGAAAAGATAACCACTACTACCTAAAAACCCAAGAGAGGAGATCCTCAAATTAGCTTATATACAATGCCAAATCTTCAAATGCTACGTTAGATGAACTTAGTCAGACATGCTTTTATAACGTTTAAGTCTTAAATTTTACTGTTGTGGAAAAAACCCTCAGCATCCCCATATTAAAAATAACAAAACAATATTTATCAGAGGCACCATTCAGAGTCCTTCAACCCTTACTTTTTCTTATCTTGCCTCTTACGCAGTTTGTAAGGACTTTTAGGAGCCACTGCCCCCTTCTAAGACAGAGAGTCCTCTCCAGAAGACCCCGAGTCCAGCTCACCGCTGGACTTACTGTCCTTTTTCTTCACCTTTGAGTAGTGTCATCAACCTCTTTCACCTTCTCAGCTGTTTGGTCCATGATTTTAAGAGTCTCATTGAGTTGTGTTTGCTGAGTGGTGAAAGTTTGAAGGTTATGCATTCTGGGTATAACCATCTGTAACTGATTGTTTTTGTTTGAAGAAAAAGAATTAAATCTTTGTATTTCTTTCTCCGTTGTCTTATTTCAAATGGAATGTCTTTCAGGATCCGAAAAGTACTGTCCCCAATTTTCAAAGGTGCCCCCGCCGTCGCTCTTAGGATGCAATCCCTCACGTGTCTCTTCGAGAATCTCATTACAATTTCCTCAGGCAGATTATTCTTCTTTATGTATATGGAGTAGGACCTATAGACCACATCCATTTCGCTCATAAGATAGTCCGCCTTCATATCTGTCACTGGGGCCAATGCTTC